TGTGGGTTGGCACGGCCTCTTCTATTACAGAGAAGCCAGTCGAAGCGAGTTCTCCCCTGGTTGTTGCGTACACCTGCCTCACCCCGAGGGAAGTACACATTGCAGAGGACGAGCAATGTTCTACCAAATCCAAGCAAACGTTTCTACAGGGAACACCTTCTCTACCTCTCAAAATAACAAAATATATATAACGAGTGGAAGAGAAGTTGTGTTTCTACTTCTCTGTGTGGCCTGAGTGCTATGGCCATTAGTAGCAGAATGTTACCACATATCTGGTACCATGTTACTAAATCTTCAATACAGTGTTACCAGACCTCCAATACAGTGTTGGTGTCTTTTCAAAACGATGTTACTGCATCTCTGATACAGTGTTTTCATCCAATAAGGATGGGGCTTGAGAATTACCTCCATAAATGCATGAGGCTCTGCAGCAGCATCCACGCACCCTGGTCCCCTCCTTCCCCCTCGTCTCTACAAAATCACCAGCCTGCAAACATTAGGTACAAGATATCACCTAGTCCTTGTCCTGGCTTCTAATACCACAAAGGCCAAACCCTGTACATTGGCATTTTATGGAGTAGAATCTGCTGAATGCTAGTTTTGCAAAAGGATGGTAAGAAATAAGGGCATAGGAATTCCCCAAGTTTCAGAAACCCGGGTTTGCATAGTGTGGTCAGCCCCTCCTGTAGAGCCACTCATCCTGGTACCACAAATCTCTCGGGGCTTCCCAGAAGGACCGGAGCTCTGAGGACTGTGGTCCCAGCCTGCTTTGGGAAACGCACCCTCCAGTGTTGCTAACTGCAGCACTGTTCTGGTGTGGACCCAGTTCCCGCCTCGCCTGGAGCCTGCCCCTGTCCCTGACCTGTGCTCTCCCTCCCCACCGCCTACAACCTGTGTGTGTATGGTACAACCCACACAGTGCTTCCACCAGCGTGCAAACGGAAGAATCTAGCCCAGCGTCTGGCACATGGGAAACCCTCAAAAAATCTACTAAATTAAATGGACTGCTAACTAACCCATGAAGCCTGAGAGGGGCACAGGCGTGAGAGAAATACAAGGGAACATCTGCTTTGCCCTCAGAGCGGTGGGGTCTCAGGTGGGCAGAGAGGTGCACATCAGGACAAGTTGTAAATGGAGGCCTGCCCTCCTGCTGGTGTGAAATGCAGAAAAGTGCACCCCCAGGCCAATGCTCCCCCTCCTTGAGGAGGGACCAGCACCTCTGCCAGCCCTCCCTTCATCCCACATGTTTTCTCAGCCTTCCAGAATGCTGACTGCAGGCAGCCCTGTGTGCTCACATGGCAGCCCGTGACCCAAGGCCTCTGACCCAGGACAGCTCAGGATGCTGACTCTACGGGAAAGGACCAATCGGATGTACAGAAATAGACCTGCCAGTGGACCAAAGTTAGAATTCCACAAAGGCGCCCTATGCTGTGTGCGGAGAGAGCTCAAGACTTTCTCAAAGACTCAGGCCCTGTGGTGAAGAGAGAACATGGGGGCCCAAACACATTAAATGCCAGTTAAATCCAGAGGCACTGACAAAATGGCCTTCAAGAAGCTGGTTTAATTTCTGACTCCTCCAAAACAGGTACTGGGATGTAGATTAGAGAGCCTGTTTTCTTTTAGCAGTGTTGAATGACAAGCACACCGCGGGGCAAGACCTCTAAATGGAACCATTTTCCCATAAGGTAATCCAACCCTGGTAGTTCCCTCCCCGGTTGGAGAAAACTTATCCCGCCCCCACCTGACACCGTGCCTGGGCCCGGCTCCCAGCACCCTGTCCAATGGTCCAATGCGCTCAGTCAACAATAGTGTCAGACAATATGTTTCATCTGCTCCTGTTCAAGCTTAGCCTTCAGGTCAATTTAGCAAAGGAAAGCAAGGTGTTCCGCTGCCTTGAGGCCCCTCAGCCAAAGGGAAAGGAGGAATCTTCAAAATGCTGTTTACAACTTGTGCTAAACAAAAATGAGCCCCTGTAACCCCTCCCTGAAAAGTGGGCTCGCCAGGTGACAGACACAAGATGTGACTGACTCACGGCTCACCTTTTTAAAAACCCCAGACAGGAGCAAAACTAACACCAAGGAAAAGTGAATCAGAGTAGGCCGGGGCCTGGGCTGGACAGATGCACAGAGCAGACAGAACTTCTAGGCTCAGGACATTCGTATCTTCATTATGATGATGATTTGGGGGTGGGGGGAGGGTTGTTTATTAAAATTCATCTAACTGTACATTTGGAATGGCAATTTTATTTAATGAAAAATCATACCTCAATAAGATCGGCTTAAAATCAATTAGCAAAAAAGCATGATTACTCAAACAGTGACCAAAAGTCAAAAGAAGGGGCCTTAAGTCCTCCTCCCCACCTGGGCACGGGGTCTCCCCTGAGCACCCCTCCTGCTGACACAGGGGGGTTACAGAGGGGGATCTGGGACCACCCCGATGGAGGGAACGTTCCAGATTTGGAAACCTTAGAACGAAGCTATGAGACCTCTTCCCATTTCCTCTGGACATTCACCCTCCCAACTATGACTGGCTTCAGCAAGTGTTAAAATTAACTTCAAGTTCCTTACCGGAATGCAAATAATAAAAAGAGGAAGTTGGGCTGGGAGGAGCAAGAAAAAAAAATAGCCTCTTCAGTCTTAGCCAGAAAGTGGACTTCCTATTCAAAACATAAACAAAACCCCACACCACAGAGAAAACTGAAGGGGTGGCCCCTCCCACAGCAGCCCCCCAGCGCTGCTCCATCAGGCTCAGATGTCCCCTCCTGAGGGCTTCACTGGCCAGCCAATGTCCTTCCCACTGGTCACTGCGTTTTGTTCCTCACGTTCATTTACTCTGTTGTTTACTCTCCCCTGGTCCCCATACAAATTCCTTGAGGTCAGGGGCCTGGAGCTAAGCAACTGACAAACACCTGAGTGACAAGGCATGAACACTGAGACCTGAGATTACAGTGCGAGTCTCCACTCCGATCCCACCATTTTCCCTGGGAAATCAGCTCATCCATTTCACCACCTCCTTCTCAGGAAGTACAAACCCCTCTCCACCCCTGGCCTCCTCGGAGGAAGCCAGCTCTCGGGGAAACCCACAGTAAGAGAGCCCTGGCTTACCAGAAGAGGATCCGTAAAATATTGGCCACCAGGAGCACCAGGCACACGTAGGTAGAGAAGCCCTCGGCGTTCTGAGTCCTCCGGATGTCCCGGTACTGCGGGATGTAGGGCACCACCCCTCCGAAGACCATGGCCCCGGCCGCACCCCAGGAAACCAGCTGGTGCAGCGGGACCAGAAGCCAATCCAAGCCTTGAGCGTCCATCGCGAACCCCCGTGCCGCCCCGCCAGCGGGCTGGCGTCCACCTGGCCGTGTGATGGTATTATCGTTATGATTGTATTAGGATGTAGTGACCCCCATATTTCAATATTAAGTTGTAACCCTGTGTGAGACCCACAAAACCCGAATGTACTTTCCCAAATGAGTGAACGCCCAGAACTTGTACCCTAGACCGATATCGCACCAGTATAGCACACCACAGCCGGCAGCCACCGATAAGGACCATCGTGTTTACTCAGCCACATAACAGCCCCGGACTTTTGATACTCAGTGTCTCCTGCCCCAAGAGACTGCTGGGACGGGCGCCGGCGGGTCCTAGAGAGCAAATTGCGCCGGGGAGGTGGGGACCCGGCGCGGAAAGGTTGGGGCGGCCCGCGGTAGGAGATGCCTGCCTGACTGAGCCGCTTTTTCGGGGGCAGGTGCCCGCGTAGACGGTCCCCACGTGTCCCCGGGCGAGGGCCATGTAGACTCGGCGCTCGGCCACCGGGAGCGGAGGAGGGAGTCCTGTCATCGCCCCGCAGTCAGCGCGTGGCCTGGGGACCCCTCTAGTGGGGACAGGATTGTGTCGGCGGGGGACATCACCCTTCGTGGGGACCAGGGAGCGGCCCCCAAGTGACTCCAGGGGCCCTCCCACGCGGTCATTCTCTGGCGGAGTCGGGGCTCCATCCTAACCTAGGGGACACCCCGGAGTAGGATCAGAAGTTTGGGAGTCTCACGGGGTAGGGTGGGCGGCTCTTCTGGGGACGAAGCCCAGCAGCCGCCCAGGGTTCTCAGTGTTCCCGCATCACATACGGGATGCCTGACCACAGTGGGCCCCAGGGCCCAGGACCCAGGACACTGGGGCTGGGGCTGGGAGTGCACCGGGGCCCAGGTGGGTGGTGGGGCAGGAGGACCCTGTGTGAAGCCAGCCAACCCTGCCCTCCAGGGACCTGAGCAGGTGGGGCTCAGGGACCCCACGATTCTGTCTATAGAGGAGCCCTATGAGGTCTCCCCTCAACCAGGGCAGACCCTAAGCACTCCAGAAGGAAAGGCCTGGTGGATGAGCGGGTGGCCCCAGGAGCACACACCTGGTCCCCATCTTCCCCTCCACTCAGGTCTGGCTGCTTGCTTCCTACCTGGTAGGTTTTGTGGGAAATCCTAACAGTTACAGCCTGGCTAAGAGCAGCTCCCCAACAAGCCTGGTGTGATGGGGAGGGGGTGGGGGGCTGGAAAGAA